TTGTTTTGTGTTTCTCCTTGAACTTTTAAGAACATGAAGACATTTTCCACCTTTGGCGGGGGGGCACAGTTTTGGAGCTTGTGATGGTGAAGGTCTGTACTTTTAGTTGGGTGTATAGGGGTGTTTATTTTTAAAACCACAAGGGAGAAAAAGGCCCCATTCCCCCATAAAATATGACAGCAATATATTATATAAAAATGACTTTATAAATTTCAAAACAATAAATAACACACAAAGCACAATGTTAAGAAGCAGTTTACATAACAAAGCTCAAATCAGAGAAAGGCGTCTTCTGATGATCTTAACACTCGAGCTGGCTCATCATGGGAGAAGCGGTCTTTGAGATAGCTTGGACCCAGGCCATGGAGGGCTTTATAGGTTAGAACCGACACCTTGAATTGTGCGCAGAAAGAGATTGTGAGCCAGTGGAGCTGCTGTAACCGGGGGGGGGGGGTTATGTGATCCCTGTAACCAGCCCCAGTCAGTAGTCTGGCTGCCGTATCTTGGAAACACTGAAGTTTCCTCACACATTATTTTTGTGTGATAATCAAAATTCCCCCCAACACACCTAAGCCAGGGCTACTTTCTATATTAGAAACCTAAGGCTTGATTCTATTGATATTGACTCACAAGTGAATTCCAGAAAACAAGAAATGATGTGCCCGATGACGCAGGTAAGTTCACCTGTGTGGCATGGGCTCTAAGGATAGCTTCGTGTTAAGTCCCCAGGTAAAGAAACAGTCGCACAGGTATGAGATATGCATGACCTCCTGCTTTGTCTTCTTTCCACAGGATGCCGAGCATGCCTGGGGAGGCAGCTGGCTCAGAGCGAGCTCTTTGTTATGTTCACCTCCCTCGTGAAAGCATTTACTTTCCAGTCGCCAGAGGGAGGAAAAGGCAAAGCTGTCCATCCCGTCATTGGTTCCGTGGCGCACCCTGGGCCGTTTAAGATCTGTGCTGTTCCTCGTTAAACTGCGATGCCTCAAAGACCGTCGCAAGAAAGAAAAACGGAGCGGCTGATAATTTGCTGCCGTGCATTTTAAATCTCCTTCTGCTCAAACTTCACCCGTTGTTCCTTTATTTCTCCAGTTCACACTTCCGCTGATGCACGGCTGTGTAACACGGGTGTGTGGCCCATTGGTTAGACTTTAACATATAGGTGGTTTGAAAAGTTCCTGGTTATTATTTATTTATTTATTTTATTTAAAATATTTCTGTGCAGCCTTTCTTCCCAAAAGGATCCAAGGCAGCTTACATCATTAAAACAGTATTTAAAAGCTAAAACAGGAAGTGTACACATATTTAAAAAGAATTTAAACTGGTATTATATTGAAATGGTAACTAAGATCAATATCACATCCAGGTTAGGCCTGCATTACAAGACCCGTGGGCTTGTGTGGCCCCCTGACACTACCTCAGACCAACAGAGTGGTCACTGTCTTTCACCCATATTCAGATCAGTGTATTAACTCATCAACCCTGGGGGTTTATATGGCGACAGGGCAGGCTGGGTCTCTGTTCACGTTTGCCAGCACATTCCCAGATTGCTAGAAGTATCAAGTTATTAACGCAGTGGTATAGGTGTCTGTTTGAAAGAAATCAACCCTGAGGGCTCACTGGAAGGACAGATCCTGAAGCTGAGGCTCCAATACTTTGGCCATCTCATAAGAGAAGAGAAGACTCCCTGGAAAAGCCCCTGATGTTGGGAAAGAGTGAGGGCAAGAGGAGGAGAAGAGGATGATGGAGGATGAGATGGTTGGACAGGGTCATCAAAGTGACCAACATGAATTTGACCCAACTCCGGGAGGCAATGGAAGACAGGAGGGCCTGGCGTGCTCTGGTCCGTGGGGTCATGAAGAGTCGGACACGATTTAACGACTAAACAACAACATAAGTGTCTGGCTGCGGAACCAAAGACTGGGAGTTCGATTCCCCACTCTGCTTCTTGTGAGTAGAACCAAGCTGTGTGACCTTGTGCAAGTTACACAGTCCCAGGATGCCCCCCCCCACAGAAGAAGGGAATAATAAACAACTTCTGTGTATATTTTCTACTTGGAAAACCCGGAAAAATGTAAAATGTCACTGGAAGTCTGAATTGACTTGATGGCACAGGATGATGATGATGATGATGATGATGATGATGATGATGATGATGAAAACAAAATGGGAACATGATGGGGTCCAAACAATTGCCCCCAAATTGCAGAGATGCACATTCACAAGATATATGGCAAAAACGCCACCACATTTTTGCTGCCTGAGGCAGATGTCTTGGGAATTCTTTGCTCTGAGGGGGCCTGTAGGAATGGGGGTGATTTCTTTGGCCGTTCTTCCCACTGCGTCTTAATGCCAAGAATCCATTGAAGCAAAGCTTTCTAAAGATGAAGGGCATGAGGGTAATACAAAGCTTCCACCTTCTGGCAGCTGCTGTGCCCCACAGCTGTGGCCACCGTCTTCTCCTCCCCTAACCGCAGACAGAACAGAGAGGTAGGCTTGGTGGTGGATGATGACAGTTCCTGCTAATCAGAAGGCCTTTGATCCTGTGAGGTCTGGTTCCCCTAAGAGAGGCTGAAAGAGGTCTTCAATGAGAATAGAGCTATGGAGTCAATTTTCTCCCCATCGTGGCTCAACATGTATGCAAATCCTACTGATTTGAGGCTCTACTCTACTTGGATGGACCAATTGGATGCAGGCTTTTTCCTCTCTTGAAATTTTGCAATGAAATAAGATCACCACCACAACTGTTGTCCCTCTGTTTCCCACCCTTTGACACCTACCTACACACACATCCCATATACCTACCCACTCACACACACCTCTTGTTCTCCTTGTAGACAGCAAGGGCCAAGAGATGCTGGGGGCTTCAGGTCGTCCACTTCTGCCTCAAGCCATTGCAAATAATGGGCCAGAAAAAGCAGTTCAGAACAGGGGGAAATTTTTGGAGAAAGGATTATCACCTTACCTCAAACTTACCGTTACAAGCTACTCATTGATACAACTCACAGCTACTGGATGTAGCCAAGCACAATGACAATCAATTTAATGTCTCTCCTATAACCCCCAGCCACCACAACTGTGATCAAAAATATCCAAAATATCTCAAGAGCACCAATTTGCATATATCGTATTTTTCTGTTCATAACACACCCCTCTTTATAAGACTACCCCCCCTTTTCTAACGTCCAAATTAAGAAAACTTTGAGTCCCTGTTGCTTCAGAGCCTACAGGCTCCACCTCCGACGAGGCGTGTTCCAATTAGTTTGTTCAGCACCAGCTGACGTAAGGCTCATGATTGGAGGAAGCTGAGTTTCCTGACTGTAGGAAGCTAAGCCTGGTGACCGAAGGAAGCCTGTTTACAGAGGCAAGGTACAGGCTGTTTTGTTCTCTCCTCAGCTATCTCAGTTTACTTCTGTGTAAAAGACACCCCTCAATTTTTAGTGTAATGATTTTAGGAAAAAGTAGTGTCTTATATACGGAAAAAAACGGTTCCTTGCTTATCAAAACAGCCAAGCAAAGGACTACTGAAAACACACACTCCAATCTTTGAGATGCATCTCATTTAAGGGAGCTCACGCTGACCAAAAAGAGAGAGTTGCCTCTTTAGCTTAACAACCCACCACCTACCACTCACCTTCTCAGTTCAGGAAAGCTTCTGCCATATCTATTAGTCTTCATGATGCCATCAGACTTTTTCCCTTTCCTTGTTCAATACTTATTTAGATATGTCTGTTTATTTTCCTGCAATTTATACCTTGCTTCTCAGTGGAGCTTATAATACTAAGTTCTTCAACTGGATTTCTCAAGGCAACTAACAATATATTTATATATGTGTATGTGCCCTCAAATTGGAACCAACGTATATTGACCCTAAGAGCGCTTTCAAGATAAGTGAGATATTTAAGCTGTGGCTTTAACAGTTCCATACCCCCCACTGAATGGCTGACTGGAAATTTGAACCCAGACCTCCTGAGCCCTATTCCATCACTCCGTCCACTATACCACACTTGGTATCACATGTATACATATACAGTGGTGCCCCACATAACGAGCAATTCGTTTAACGACGAATCTGCATAGCGATGTGTTAGATGGCAAAATATCGCTTAGCGATGATCGGTAAGCGTTTCGCTTACCGATTATTGCATAACGATGTTTTTGGAATAGCTGCCGGCGGTTCCAAAATGGCCGCCAGGTAAAGAAAATGGCCGCCCGCTGTGTTTTTGCGCCCTTTCCTCGCTTACCGGGCAGCAAAAATGGCAGCCGTATGGAGGATTTCCGCAGAACGGTGAGTTTTTTCCCCATAGGAACGCATTAAATGTGTTTTAATGCGTTCCTATGGGCTTTTTTGCCCTGCATAGTGACGAATCCGTATAGTGACGATTTTTTCAGAACGGATTATCGTCGCTATGCAGGGCACCACTGTACACATTAACAAATATACATGAGGTATCTGAAGGGAGGGAGGTATTTTTCCAAGACCTCAAAAGGTCTAACTGCTTCTTAATCTGTGGGTCATAGCAAATTTCAAAGAGAATGGCTGCAGCAGGATCTAGGTGGGAATATTCACCAGTATTCGCTCCAGTTGAAGAGGGGCTTCAGTTGTGCTTTGACTCAGATTATATTGCCCTGCTTGGGAAGTGAGTTATTTGTGGCAACCCAGCTCTTTCCAGATCTGTTTTCTTGATCTCATTCTTTCTCCAGAGGAATCCCAATTAAAACTCAATAGGAACAGGGCTGACTCTCTACACTGGTGTCAGGGAGGTGAGGAGTACTCTTTAGCACTGCTGCCTCTCGCCTTCTGCTTAATGATTCTGGCAGAATCACTTAAAAAGTATGCCGGTTTTCCCTGTTAGGAGAAAGAAGGAATCCCTCTAGCCTCTCTTTCAAACTGCAGACTTACCTACATATTAGTAAGAAAACAACACCCACTTGTTCACAATGGGACCTCCCACTGCCAAATAAGGCAACAAGAAGTGGAGAATGGGAAGCGCATGAGAGCGAATGATGGAGGAGATGTAGGGGAGTTGAAAGGAGGGACCGCATTAGTGTGAAAACATGAGCCAGGAAAAAACAGATTATATTGAAGTCAAAATGAAAACAGTTATAGAAGCTTGGAGTGAATGAATCTGGATTGTTGAGGGGGAAAGGGCAATGTTTGCAATCCATGTCAGTCCATGACACACACAGTCTGGATGGGCCTCATATTAGTGCCAAGAATTCCCCGCAGAAGCTGTAACTGCTGTGCAGGAGGCAGAGTGCCACACCATGAAACTATGCCTGCTGGAACAAAGGGAGATGAAAAAGAAACCCTTCTTACTTGAGGACTAAAAAGTGTTTAAAATCCTGAGAAAAGTAATGGGATGGATTGCGATAAAATGCCTCTCATGTGTATGGGGAGAGACAACATCAATGTGGAACTTCATGCATGAAGTAGAGCAAATATTCTGTCTGGAGGAGCCTCAAACAATTATTGAGGCAAATGCATTCTGCAACCTGGCATGAGGTGAGCAACAATTCCCATCATATGCTCAATTTGCTAGGATTCCTAAAGGAGAGAAAGATGGATATGTCCTACAGGAAACTCATAATGAAGCACAGAGAGCATAAACAAGTATCCCTGGATCATTAGATACACTTTACATCCATCTGGAAAGCCTGTTTCTTTGATGTTTCTACCCACTCGCCCAGCTGATGGAGGAAGGCATGTAAACAGAAAACATCTGGCTGTGTGTGAGTGGTGTTTCCCACACTGGGCCCAGCCCTGCAGAACCAGTATGCCTAAAACTTAGATAGAAACTGAACCTGTAACAGAGTCCTTTAGTTTTCCCCTCTGAACCTGGAAGGCTGAGCCAACACAAACTGTTCTCTGTGTCCATGGCCACAATCCCAGTATTTGTAAAGGGAAACTGTGCACTCAGCCAAATGTATGATGGTGAACCCTTCCACTGACATTGCAAGAGCTATTGCTTTCCAGCAGCTTGGCTGTTCAGAAGCATAAGCATCGACCAGAGTGGAAATTGCTGGCTCCTTGATTCCCATTCCCTTCATCATGGCTCTAGGC